AGATGGAGAGTCAGAGAGAGAGAGGGAGGGAGGAAGGGAGGTCTTCCATCCACTGGTTCACTCCCCAATTGGCTGCAATGGCCGGAGCTGTGCCGATCTGAAGCCAGGAGCCTCCAAGGACTTGGGCCATCTTCTACTACTTTCCCAGGCCATAGCAGAGAGCTGGATCGGAAATGGAGCAGCCGGGTCTCAAACCGGCGCCCGTATGGGATGCCAGCACTGCAGGCGGTGGCTTTACCGGCTATGCCACAGCGCCAGCTCCAGTGTGGTATATTCTTAAGGGGAGTGAGCAATAGAAAGGATGCAATGTTGATACATGGTGGCAACACATGTGAATTCAGAATAATTAGGCTGAATCAAAGAAGCCCCATAAAAATGTGTGTTGTGTGATGTGATTTATATGGGATTGTAGTAAATGCCAGATACTGTATATTGTTAGAAAAATTGTCTGCTCATGAAGATAAGGCCACAGTGGTGAACAGTGGAAGGGAAGGATATGGAGGACCCCTAGAATTCCTTTGTATATGTTTATGATCTTAATCAAGGTGATGGTTTCATGGATGTATACATGTCAAATTAGAAAACTACATATTTTCAATATATACATTTTATTGTATGTCAATTATACTTCAATAAAACTGTTTTGTGTTTAATAAATAATACAATTTTTAGGAACTCCATTTAATTCCTGAAAGAATATATTCCAAACTAACAGAAGGAAGACAATGAAATAATATGCCTGTGGCGCCAGCATCCATCATGAGTGTGAATTAATGTTCAGGCTGCTCCTCTTCCAATCCAGCTCTCTTTTGGCCTGAGAAAGCAGAAGATGGCCCAAGCACTTGGGCCCCTGCATCTGCTTGGGAGACCCTGAAGAATCTCCTGGCTCCTGGCTTCAGATCAGCTCAGCTCAGCCATTGCAGCCACTTGGGGAGTGAACTAGTGAAGGGAAGACCTTTCTATCTATTCCTCTCTCTGTAGTTCTACATCTCAAATAACTATTAAAATTTACATATAGAACAAATAATAAATGCATAATAAACTTGAAGATATAAATCCAAATCATTAATGATACTGATGTTAAATTATGCTAAATGTAAGCCTACTAAATGTTCCATTTAAAAGATACACTAGGGTTTTGTTTTGTTTTTTAACGAGAGAGGGAGAGACAGATCTTCCATCTTCAGATTCACTCCTCAAATGGCTGCAACACCCAGGGTTAGGCCAGACTGAAGCCAGAAGCCAGGAGCTTCCTCCAGGTCTCCCATGTAGGTGCAGAGGGCCAAATAGTTGGACCATCTTCTACTTCCCAGGCCATTAACAGAGAGCTGGATTGGAAGTAGTGCAGCCAGAATGTGAACTGGCACATCACAGGCTGCAGCTTTATCCACTAGGCCACAAAGTTGGCCCCAACATAATGGATTTAAAGGAATAAAAAGCTATATGCTACGTAAGAGAAAAACAGCTATAGTATTAAGATGCAGAAAGATTGAAAGTTAAAGGATAGAAACATACATACTGTACTGTAAACTATAAAATTTAGGGGTTGACGGGGATAAAACTAATAGCTAATGTAACTTTCAGGGTGGAAGATTTGGGCTGTAATTGGAAAGACATTTGAGGGATTTTCATGTTAATAGTTGCTACACAGATATTTGCTTTATTTTTTTTTTTGAAGATTTATTTTATTTATTTCAAAGAGTTACAGGGAGAGGTAGAGACAGAGAGAGATCTTCCATCTGCTGGTTCGCTCCCCAGATGGCCACAACGGCCGGAGCTGTGCTGATCCGAAGCCAGGAGCTTCTTCTGGGTCACCCACATGGGTGCAGGGGCCCAAGGACTTGGGCTATCTTCTACTGCTCTCCCAGGCCATAGCAGAGAGATGGATCGGAAGAGGAGCAGCCGGGACTAGAACCGGCGCCCATCTGGGATGCGGGCGCTTCAGACCAGGGCGTTAACCTGCTGTGCCACAGCGCTGACCCCCTTATTTATTTATTTTGAAAGAGGAAGAGTTACAGACAGAAGGAAAGAGATTTTCCATCTGCTGGTTTACTCCCCAAATGGCCACAACAGCTGGAGCTGGGCCAGACTGAGCCAGGAGCAAGGAAATTCGTACAGGTTTCATGTGGTGCAGGGGTCCAAGTATTTGGGCCATCCACTGCCTTCCCAGGCCATTAGCAAGGAGCTGGATCAGAAGTAGAGCAGCCAGGACTCAAACTAGCACCTACATGGTGTGCCGGTGCTGCAGACAGGCTCAACCTACTAAGCTACAGTGCTGGCCACAAATATTTGCTTTATAAAAATTTGCTAATCCTCATACCTGATATTTATATTCCTTTCCCAAATGAATATTCTTTTTCATAATTTTTAAAGCAAAATATGAGACACTGGCTAACACATGACCTAGCCAGACAATAAGCAATTTGAGACAACTGACTTTTGTTATAGAAAAATAAATGATATTCATTTCTCACAACATGCATAAAACTTCTTTTTAAAACATTTTTTTATTTGAAAGGCAGAGTTGCAAAAACAGAGAGGTCTTCCATCCACTGGTTCACTCCCCAAATGGCCCCAAGGGCCAGAACTGAGCTGATCCTAATCCAGGAGCTTCTTTTAAGTCTCCCATGCGAGTCTCCCATGCAGATGCAGGGGCCCAAGCACTTGGACCATCTTCCATTGCTTTCCCAGGACATAGCAGAGAGCTGGATCCGAAGTGGGGCAGCCAGGACTCGAACCTGCGCCCACATGGGATGCCAGCATTGCAGGTGGCGGCTTCACCCGTTATCACAACTCTGGCCCCCAAAAGTAAACTTTCAAGTAAAGATTTAAATTAGGGAGAAAACAAAGTTTAAAACTGAAAATATAAAGAAACATTTCTGTGACCTTATATTACAGGGTGATTTCTTAAATAGGACACTAAAAGTAAAATGATTTTAAAAAGATCGACAAATTGGGTTATATAAACTTAAAACACGTAATAGACAAAGAATTAGTATGTAGACTATATAATCGTTAAAAAAAATCAACATAAGAGGCCAGCACTGTATGGCAGGTAAAGCCACTGCCTGCAACAACAGGATCCCATATGGGTGCCGGTTCGAGTCCCAGATGCTGCACTTGCGATCCAGGTCTCTGTTAATGGCCTGGGAAAAGCAGTAGAGGATGGCCCAAGTGCTTGGGCCCCTGTCACCCATGTGGGAAACCTGAATGAGGCTCCAGGCTCTGCCCCGTGCCAGTGCTGACCATTATGGCCATCTGGGGGTTAAACCAGTGGATGGAAGATCTCGCTCTCTCTGTCTCTCCCTTTCTCTCTGTAACTTTCATTTTCAGAAATTAATAAATCTTTAAGAAAAAAAGAAATCAGTATAAAACTAAGGTTATGGCTGGCACCACAGCTCACTTGGCTAATTCTCCGCCTGCGGCGCTGGCACCCCAGGTTCTAGTTCTGGTTGGGGCACTGGATTCTGTCCCAGTTGCTCCTCTTCCAGTCCAGCTCTCTGCTGTGGCCCGAGAAGGCAGTGGAGGATGGCCCCAGTGTTTGGGCTCTGCACCCGCATGGGAGACCAAGAGGAAGCACCTGACTCCTGGCTTTGGATTGGGGCAGTGCGCTGGCCGTAGAAGCCATTTGGGGGGTGAACCAACAGAAAAGGAAGACCTTTCTCTCTCTCTCTTTCACTGTCTAACTCTGCCTGTCAAAAAAACAAAACAAAACAAAACAAAAAAACTAAGGTTATATAAAAGCAATTCAGAGAAAACAAGAATGTGTTCAACTTCAGTAGTCATTAAGAAAATGCAAATAAAATAATGAGATCAAATGTCACTGTATTGGTAAAAATATTTCTGATAATGAGTAATGGAGGCATATAGAAAAAATGGAAATTCACTGTTGATGAAAGTGTAAATTCGGCCAGTGTTGTGGCACATGGTTAAGCCCATCCCCTATGGGTGCTGGTTTGAGTCCCAGCTGCCCCACTTCCAGTCTAGCTCCCTGATAGCGCACGTGGGAAAGCAGCAGAGGATGGCCCAAATCTTTTTGCTCCTGCACCCACGTGGGAGACCCAGATGAAATTCCAGGCTCCTGGCTTTGGCCCAGGCCAGCACCAGCTGTTGCAGCCACTGGGGAGTGAACCAGCAAATGAAAGGTAGCTGTCTCTCTCTGCCACCCTCTCTCTGTAACTCTCTGCTTTTCAAATAAATAAATAAATCATTTAAAAACCATGAGTTGGCACAACCTTTTGGAAAACAATCACAATATCTAGGAGAATTTAAAAGACTGACATATCCAGGAGCCAGCGCTGTGGCTCACTTGGTTAATCCTCCACCTGGGGCGCTGGCATCCCATATGGGTGCCGGGTTCTGGTCCCGGTTGCTCCTCTTCCAGTCCAGCTCTCTGCTGTGGCCCGGGAGGGCAGTGGAGGATGGCCCAAGTGCTTGGGCCCCTGCACCCACGTGGGAGACCAGGAGGAAGCACCTGGCTTCTGGCTTCAGATTAGCGCATCACCGCTGTAGCAGCCGTTAGGGGAGTGAACCAATGGAAGGAAGACCTTTCTCTCTGTGTCTCTCTCTCTCACTAACTCTATCTGTTTAAAAAAAAAAGACTGACATTTCCCTTTTAATCATATGAAGTGGAGGGAGTTCTCAAGTGGATTGGGTAAGACTGTTGTGATGTTTGTTCTGGTAGAAATAGTGGAAGCCTCTTCAAGACTTGGTAAACTGATGTGTGCTCTGCACACAGAATATTGAACAAAATTGTGAAATTGTACAATTTTGTCATTAACGATTGTTTTGATGAAAGATTAAGAATGTCCGTAATCCATAGTCTTTACCTATATATCAACACTTACTAATTTACATCTGTGAGTTTTTCCCTATAATAATTATTACGAATATTTCTCTAAGGTTTTTTTCCTAGACACTGTATTCTCTGAATCTACTAGGGAGAAATAAACACCGTTCAAAAATTTATTTTGCTTCTTATCTATTCTTTTTTTTTATAGGACTAATGTTTCAGGTCAAACACCATCTGCCAAAAGAAGTTTGGGATTTCTTCCTCAGCCAGCCCCTCTTTCTGTTAAAAAACTGAGATGTAACCAGGATTATACTGGCTGGAACAAACCAAGAGTGCCCCTTTCTTCTCACCAACAGCAACAGCTGCAGGGGTAGGTAAATTCTTATAAAAATGTAAATACACATTCACTTTTTTTTTTCATGAAGTGATTCAGCTAAAGTATGCTTTGCTTTTTTTTTTTTTTTTTGGACAGGCAGAGTGGATAGTGAAAGAGAGACAGAGAGAAAGGTCTTCCTTTTGCCGTTGGTTCACCCTCCAATGGCCGCCACGGGGTTCAGTGTATGCAACTCATCTCAAATGTCTGAGGAAAATATGTAGGGGGTATTAGATATGAAGCACGTAGTTAAAGAGTGTTAATGCTTGGTGCATTTTAGAATACTGTTCTTGTAACTTTTTTAAGCCTAAAAATATTTCCAGATAAAAAATTTTTTAAATATGTGTACTTAAGAAAGATGTGGCAATATCTGTTAAACACATATATAGTCCATAATTCATTAGTTCCTTTTCTGGAAATACATTTAAGAAAAATCAGTAAATTATAGCCCAATGTAAAACGGAAAATAGTAAATAAAAATGAATACCTTTTTGGTAAGTCCCTAGTCACACTAGCAGCCATCTGAAAGATAATTTTCCATTAGAAGAAACGAAGTTATTGTTATAATGCAGTGGTTCCCAACGTATTGTCCCCAGACCTTCAGCATCAGCATCACTGGGTGGCTGGTTAGAAATGCACGTTTGTACGCTCTGTCCAAACCTGCTGGAACAGAAGCTTGGGGGAGGTCCAGCAGTGTGTGGTTTCACGGGCCCTGCTGGTGATGCATGCTCAGGAAGAGAATCCTGCTAATACCCAACAGACTTCAGAAACTATTGTTGTCTTCTAAAGCACTGTTTCTTTCATTTTCAGTTTCTCCAACTTGGGAAATACCTGCTATATGAATGCTATTTTACAGTCCTTATTTTCACTCCAGTCATTTGCAAACGACTTGCTTAAGCAGGGTATTCCATGGAAGAAAATTCCATTCAATGCACTTCTCAGGTAATTGTCTTGTACTTACTGAGTAACCCTTTAGCTCAGATACTGTTGAATAATAAAAATAAAATTGTCATTGTTTTCTAAAATATACCATCCAGGGGCCAGCATTGTAGCCTAGCAGGTAGAGCACCCACCTGCAACACCAGCATATCCCATATGGGCACAGTTTATGTCCCGGCTTCTCCATTTCCAATACAGCTCCCTGCTAGTGGCCTGGGAAAGCAGCAGAAGGTAGCCCAAGTATTTGGCTCCTGGCTCCTAGCTTTGGCCTGTTGCAGCCATTTAGGGAGTGAACCACAGATGGAAGATCTCTGTCTCTTCCTCTCTCTGTAACTCTGACTTTTAAATAAATAAATAAATCTTTTTAAAAAAAAATGCCATACAACGTTTTGTAAAACAAACTAACCTTGTCTTCTGTTTTACCAGACGCTTTGCACACTTGCTCATTAAAAAAGATATATGTAATTCAGAAACCAAAAAAGATTTACTTAAGAAGGTTAAAAATGCCATTTCAGCTACAGCAGAGAGATTCTCTGGTTATATGCAGAATGTAAGTACTAATTATTTTTTAAGATGATTTAGAGATAGGAGGAATTGGAGTGATTTTTATTTACTATGTGATTTGTAGTTTATTCATCGCTTGTTGAAAAGCCCAAGGAGTTATAGTAAGCTTCAGTGTAACTCTATTGTTTGTTTTAATCCTTTTTAACATATAGATGTGATTTGCCAGTGTTCAAAGAACTTGTGATCTGTTAATTACAAAGTTATTTTAGAAAAATAAGGATTTTTTTAAAGCAAAGTAAGGAATCATTTATGCAACTGATAGTTAAGAATATAAAATCCAGCAGCTGGCATTGTATGTACTGGGTGAAGCTGGCAGTTGCATCACCCGCATCCCATATCAAAGTATGAGTTCAGGTTGCAGCTACTCTGCTTCCCAGTCCAGCTTCCTGGGAAAAGCAGCAGAAGATGGCCTAAGTACTCAGGCTCCTATCACTCGTGTGGGAGACCAGGATGGAGTTCCTGGCTGCTGGCTTCAGCCTGTCCCAGACCCAGCTATTGGTGGCCATGTGAGGAATAAACCAGTAGAGGGAAGACCTCTCTCTTTCTGTCTCTATTGCTCTGCCTTTAAACTGAATAAGTAGATATTTTTAAAACATTAGAAAGCCTGCCATTTATTTTGATCCACAAGATATGAACCCCAAAACCCTTATTAGAATAAATCTGACTTGGTCACGTGTAATTGACTTCCAAGTGCTTAAGTTGTGTAAGTCACAGTGTTAATAAGCTATGCTTGTGATAAATGTTGCACTATTATTAAGGATATCATTATTGTCTTAGGATGCTCATGAATTTTTAAGTCAGTGCTTAGACCAGCTGAAGGAGGATATGGAAAAATTAAATAAAACATGGAAGACTGAACCTGTTCCTGGAGAAGAAAATTCACCAGATATTTCAGCTACCAGAGTTTACACTTGCCCTGTTATTACTAATTTGGAATTTGAGGTTCAACACTCCATTATTTGTAAAGCGTAAGTAGTGTCTAAGAAAACTTTTTCCTCCCTTTTAATTATTTATGGCAAGTGATCAAAACATTCCTCTGACACACCAAATACTACGAATCCTTATCTTCTAACCTATGTCAAGGGGACGGTGGTATATCCCACAGATTATACTAAACTTGAGTACCTAGGTTTGAGTCCCAGTTCTGCTTCCAGCTTCCTGCTTATGTAACCCCTCGGAGGCAGTGGATGTCGGCTCAAGTGTTTGGGTCCCCACCACTTACATGGGTGACCCAAATAGAGTTCCACGCTCCTGGCTATGGCATGGTCCAGCCCTGACTGTTGCAAACATCTGGGGAGTGAACCAGAAGATGGAAGAGACTAATCGGGCATGCTCTTTCCCTCACCTCCCTCTTTTCAAATTATAATAAAGTCAGGATCCGTTCCTCTGCCTCAGATTCCCTCTCTCTGTGTTCTCACATAACTAGTGCCCTCTCACTCCTTGAGAACTTTATGTAGAGTCCATTGGCTGAGGCATTTTCTTACTACCTTATCTGAAATTCTAACCAAGTGCTCTGATCCTTTGCTTCCCTCTTCCTTACTGTATCTTAGCCTGATTTCTGTTGGAACCTTGGGTCTCTGCTGCTTCTTACAAAGCCAGTAATACCATTATGGGGGCGCCGTCATTATAACCTTATCTAGTCCTAACTACCCCCCAAAGTCTCTACCTCCATTAACATGAGATAGCTGCAAATCATAGCAGCATGTATCACTATGTCTAACACACTGTAAGTGTTGATTTTACTTTTGTGTGTTTCTTTCTCATTGTCTCTCCCCCAGTATAATGGAAGCTTCACAGAGGGGCACACCGTTGTCTTGGTTTATTCACTGCTGTTATCCATTGCTTAGAGCAGTTTCTAGCATATAGGAAACTGTTTATATTTGTTAGTTGCTGCAAATCAAATTGCCTTAAACTTAGAGGCTTAAAACAACATCCATTTATTTATTTATTTATTTATTTATTTTTATTTGACAGATAGAGTTAGACAGTGAGAGAGAGAGAGAGAGAAAGGTCTTCCTTTTGCCGTTGCTTCACTCCCCAAATGGCCGCTATGGCCGGAGCTACGCCAATCCGAAGCCAGGAGCCAGGTGCTTCCTCTTGGTCTCCCATGCGGGGGCAGGGGCCCAAGCACTCGGGACACAGCAGAGAGCTGGACTGGAAGAGGAGCAGCCGGGACTAGAACATGGTGCTCATATGGGATGCTGGCGTCACAGGAGGAGGATTTGCCAAGTGAGCCACGTCGCTGGCCCCAACAACACCCATTTATTAACTCACAGCTCTAAAGATCTGAAAAGCACAGTGTGGCTAATTTCTCTGCTCAGAGAGGCCAAAATCAAGGTATACTGCCTGTGTTTCCAGCCGGAGTCCAGGACTGTCTTTTAAGCCAAGACAGTGATAGGCAGAATTCAGATCCTTACACCTGTAGGATTGAAGTCTCCATTTTCTTGTTAGTCGTTGGCTAAGACCACTGGTTTCTTAAAAGCTGCATGTAGTTCCTTGCCACGTGGCCCACATAGGCACTTACAACAGTGCTCTATGCTTTCTTCCAAGCCAGCTGGCACACATCTCTGATTTCTAATCCTAGACTGCCTCTGTTTCTGCTCCCTAGACCTAGATTTAAAGGCTTCCTGTGATTCACTCTGTCCCATCCAGATAATCTTATTTTCATTAAGTTTTCTCAAGATTAGTCACCTTGGTTATATCTGAAAGGTTCCTTTGCTGGGTAAAATAACATAATCAAGGAGTGATAACTCTTCATTGTATAGGTTCTACCCACAGTCAAAAGGGACAGAATTATACAAAGGCAAGGGTCACCTTAGAATTCTGTCAGAGTTGCTCAATAAATATTTGTTGAATGAAGAAGAAATATAGGGGCTGGCACTGTTGCATAGCAGGTAAGGCCCCCACCTGCAGTGCCAGCATCCCATATGGGTGCTGGTTCAAGTTCTGGCTGCTCAGCTTCTGATCTAGCTCTCTGCTATGGGCTGGGAAAGCCTGAGTCCTTGGGGCCCGGCACCCACATAGGAGACCTGGAAGAAGCTCCAGGCTCCTGGATTCAGTTCGGCGTAGCTCCAGCCGTTGCGGCCATTTGAAGAGTGAACCAGTGGATGGAAGACCTCTCTCTCTTTCTCTGTCTCTGCCTTTCAAATAAATAAATAAATCTTTTTTTTTTTTTTTTTTCTTGACAGGCAGAGTAGACAGTGAGAGAGAGAGAGACAGACAGAAAGGTCTTCCTTTTGCTGTTGGTTCACCCTCCAATGGCCGCCGTGGCTGGCGCACTGCGCTGATCCGAAGCCAGGAGCCACGTGCTTCTCCTGGTCTCCCATGGGGTGCAAGGCCCAAGCACTTGGACCATCCTCCACTGCACTCCCGGGCCACAGCAGAGAGCTGGCCTGGAAGAGGGGCAACCGGGAAAGAATCCGGCGCCCCAACCGGGACTAGAACTTGGTGTGCCGGCGCCGCTAGCGGAGATTAGCCTAGTAGTGAGCCGCGGCCGCCGACCCCTTTTTTTTTTTTTTTTTTTAAAGGATTGTTATTTCCTCCACTCCTGGTGCCATTGCTACGTGTACCCTAGGTTACAGAGGACAGGAATTCTAGGCTCATAGTAAATCCCTAATTCTTACCCACACCTGATTGACAGCCGTACACACTCCGTTCAAGCCTTCGCCTG